CGTAGTCGTCGTCGTCGTCGCCGTCGTTGTCGTCGTCGTGGTCGTCGTCTTCGTGGTCGTCGTCGTCGCCGATGTCGTCGTCGTGGTCGTCGTCGTCGTCGTGGTGGTCGTCGTCGCTGTCGTTGGCGTCGTCGTCGTCGTCGTGGTTGTCGTCGTCGCCGTCGTCGTGGTCGTCGTCGCCGTCGTCGTTGTCGTCGTCGCCGTCGTCGTCGCCGTGGTCGTCGTCGTCGGCGCCGTCGTCCTCGTCGTCGTCGTCGTCGCCGTCGTGGTGGTGGTCGTCGTAGTCGTTGTTGTCGTCGTCGTCGTCGTCTTCGTGGTCGTCGTCGTCGACGTCGCCGTCGTCGTCGTCGTCGTCGTGGTCGTCGTCGCCGTCGTCGTCGTGGTCGTCGTCGTCCTCCCTGTCGTCGTCGTTGTCGTTGTCGTCGTTGTCGTTTTCGTCGTCGTCGTCGCCGTCGCCGTCGCCGTCGTCGTCGTCGTCGTCGTCGTCGTCGTGGTCGTTTGTGTCGTCGTCGTCGTGGCCGTCGTCGTCGTGGTGGACGTCGTCGTCGTCGTCGTTGTGGTCATCGTCGTCGTGGTCGTCGTCGTCGCCGTCGTTGTCGTCGTCGTGGTCGCCGGCGTCGTGGTCGTCGTCGTCGCCGTAGTCGTCGTCGCCGTCGTTGTCGTCGTCGTCGTGGTCGTCGTCGTCGTGGTCGTCGTCGTCGCCGTCGTCGTCGTGGTGGTCGTCGTCGTCGTGGTGGTCGTCGTCGCTGTCGTTGGCGTCGTCGTCGTCGTTGTCGTCGTCGCCGTCGTCGTCGTCGCCGACGTCGTGGTCGTCGTCGCCGTCGTCGTCGTCGCCGTGGTCGTCGGCGCCGTCGTCGTCGTCGTCGTCGTCGTCGTCGCCGTGGTCGTCGTCGTCGGCGCCGTCGTCGTCGTCGTCGTCGTCGCCGTGGTCGTCGTCGTCGTGGTCGTCGTCGTCGTCGTTGTTTGCGTCGTCGTCGGCGCCGTCTCCGTCGTCGTCGTCATCGTTGTCGTCGTCTTCGTCGGCATCGTCGTGGTCGTCATCGTCGTCGTCCTCCCTGGCGTCGTCATTGTCGCAGTCGTCGTCGTCGTTGTCATTTTCGTCGTCCTGGTCGTCGTCGTCGCCGTCGTTGTCGTTGGCGTCGTCGTCGTCGTTGTCGTCGTCGTCGTCGACCCCGTCGGGGGTCGAGGGTCGGCTGGCGGCGGTCCGCGCTCCGTTCCCCGCGCCCGGAGTCGGGCCGTGGTCTTCTACTCCATCCTGCTCTTTTCATCCTCCCTCTTCCCCCTCCTCACCTGAAGCTTGTGCTTCTACTTCTCCCCTCCTCCCGCCCTCGCGCGTCGCCTCCTCCTCCTCTTCCTCCTCAACCTCCTCCTCATCTTCCTCCTCAACCTCCTCCTCCTCCTCTTCTTCCTCCTCGTCGTCGTCGTCGTCCTCCTCCTCCCCCTCTCAAGCCATTTGCGGCCCGAGGACTTCTTTGGGGAGAGGCTCAACGACCGCGCGGCAATCGCGCTTGCCGAGTGCGGGTGGGCCCAAGTGCCCTGCTACGTGCTCCCGCAGCTTGAGGGGCGCCTCACAGGCGGCAAACATCGAGTGTCGAGCAGTGCCAGCACATTGATGTGACGCAGCGGCAATGAGAGGGCGAGAAGCAGAGGTGGCTCGAGGCCACCCTCCACTCACGGGAGGCGTCGCCAAGCGTATCTTGGGTGTCGCAATTGTTCCGGGTCATGGGTTTATCGCAGCCGTGCAGGATCTCCAGGTTGGGATTCATGTCGGTTATGCCGCCCCCTGGCTGGAGCAGTCCAACAGAAAGGAAGCCGCCTTCGCTCTGGAGAACTGGGAGGGGGCATCCGCCAACGGTCCCTTTCTCGAGCAGCTCCTGCCCAAGTGCAGAGCTGCCAGGGCGGTCAATCAGGAGGATGCCATCAGGGCTATGGAGCTGGTTTGCCCCGGGTTGGCGAGTGCAGTCAAACCCCCTCCTCCGAAGGCTCCTGAGGCCCTTTTCGGACAGCAGGCGGCCAGCCTTCGGAGACTCCAGTGTAAGCAGGAAAAGATCAGGTGTCAGGTCGTCGCAAACGCCAAGACGGGGAATGAGTTGCTGGCCATGCTTGAGGAGACGGTTCGTGCGTGCGTAGAGGCGCATTCTGAGGTCGACCGTCTCACGATTCTCACTTCGGCGGCCAGAGGCGCGAACGCGGCTTCCGCAAGCGACGAGACCGAAGACGATGACGACAACGCCTTCAATTTCCCCGAGCTCGGTTCTGAGGGCGTGGAACTCCTCGCGCCCGAGCAGGAGGCGGCATGCGTGGCGGCCTTGGCACATGCGAGAAGGTCCAGGAGGTGTACAATAATTCGAAGGATATCGGCAAGCAGGCGCAGGGCGCGGCCCAGACGCTTCGAGAGTTGCGTGAGACGGCTGGGTCGGCAGAGAGGCGCAAGGCTGATGGCGCAGCAGGTGTCGCAGCAGGTGCCCCGTCTGATGCAGCAGGAGGAAGTCGACGGCAGCCGCAGTCAGATGAGGCCGCCCCGACTGATTTCGCCAACCCGAAGAAGGTGGGTGCCTGCATACAGCGCGCGGTGGCCATCGGGGCGAGGGCTGCTGCAGCGGAGGCAGTCAGGGCGGCTTCAGGCAGCTCGGCGGGGGCAGCCCAGAACGGCGGCGCGGCTTCGGCGGCCGGGCCGAAGAGTGAGTGGGTAGCTCCCCCGCGGGGTCCGTGACCCGCAGCGCAGGCAGAACGCCATTTGGCCAGCGTGAGTATACTTCGATTTTCTTCGGGAGCGTCGCGAGCTGGAGCCCCGAGGTCAAGAAGCTCGCGGGGGCGGCGCCGTGCGATCTCATGGGCGTGGCCGAGCGCCGCTTGCCCCGAGTGTCGTGCCGGCGAGAAGAACGGCGCCCGCGCAAGTTTTGTTGGAGGTCGGAGGCTACCTGGGCGGCTGCTACAGCGACAGGGAGGTCCGACAAGGGCGCTCGCGGGGGTGCGTGCTGTCTCAGGCGGGCGACCTACGCTGCCAGTGTCCATCTTGCAGGAGCCCAAGGCAATAGTGTCTGCCACGATGAGTTGCGAGGCGCGTCGGCGGTGTTGGCGCGCTTCCATGGGGTCACTATTGCGTTCGTGGCGTGCTATTTGGATTGTTCGATCGGCTTGGTGGGCACCAGCTCCAAGACGATGCTCGCCGTCGCCCGCGCCGTCGAGTTGCTGGGCGGGCCCAGGATGCTGGTGGGGGACTTCGACGCCGCGCCCGCGGAGATGGCGAAGTCGGGCTGGCTGGGCGTTCTCAGTGCCCGAGCGATGACACCAGAGGGAGATGAGTTTTCCTGTGCGCCGGGCAAAGGCCGCGTGATTAACTGCGCGGCGGTGCCCGACAGTTTCCGCCCCTTTGTCACCGAGGTCCTGCCAGTCCAAAACCTCCCGTGGGGACCTCATATTGGCCTCGATCTCCCCATCAAGTTTCGTCCTGCTCCAGTTTTCCTTCGGGCGCCTGTGTTGCTGGTGGCATTAAGAATCCCCGGGGGGGGAAGTGCGCGTGCCCTGAGGTGTGAAGCGTTGCCAGAGGGATAGGGAGATGCATGTCAAGATCCAGGAAGTGCACAACGAGATGGATGTGCCGCAGAATGGGGACCTCGTCGACGACGACGACCACCACCTGCTGGACGACCACTGCCTCGCCAGGCGGCCCAAGAGGTGCGAGGGCCAGGAATGGGGCAAGTTCGTTGAGGAGGCGCAAGAGAAAGTCGGGTGCTCTGTCCCCCGGGGCGCGCCTGACGCCGAGGAGAGCGAGGCCTGCCGAGTCGCCCCGCGCACGTCTGGGGCCCCGGCATAGCAGCATGCTATTTGGGCGTGGGCGGCTGAGGCGCAGCTGGTGGAGCTATGCGGAGTTGGGCCCCGGCAAGGAGCACGGCGCGGCATGCCGTCGAGATGCCGGTGGAGGCGCGCGGCGGCGCAGGCGCCCGACTCCAATCTCGGCCACTTCGTGCGCCGGCGCCTTCAGCGGCAAGTGGGCGAGCCTCCGCGCCAGGGTCCAGGAGCAGCCGGTCGCATTTGGGCGGTTTCGGCATGCCAGTTGCCAGCGGCGCGCCCAGCAGATCGCGGGCAACCTATTGCCCGCGCTCCGACTGTAGCACGATGCGCGTGGCCCGAAGGCCTTGGAGGGGGTGCGACGGGAAAGTGGCGCGTGCGCAGAGATGACCACAACGTGCTGCATCAACAGGAAAGGGCCTGGTGCTTCACGGACCTCGCGCTTTGGCAGAAATTTGCCCGGAAGGTTCAAGCGCGCTCTATCCGTTGCGCGTCCCTGTGGGCAGTCATGAATGCTCGGGGCTCCATGAGGGGCGCCCTCCGCAGCCTGAGGAAGAACGGGCAGCGCGCCCTGGGCGAGACCTGCGTCGACCCCATCGCCAACGAGGTCGGCGGCGCGGTCCAGGGCGCCGCCGAAGCCAGAGCGGCCTGCTGGGCAGCGAGGTGGACGCCTCAACCGCGTCGACTGCAAGCAGTCCGCGCAGCCCTCGGTATGCTTCGGACCCGCGCCCTAGAAGACTTAGAGGAGACGCCGCGCCATGATCGTGAACGGTTGGTGGCAGCGCTGAAGTCGACCCAAGAGGACGGGCGAGGGGCCTGACCAATGGAAGCCGATCCACATCTTGGCGCTGTCGGACAGGAGGCAGGGGGGCATCGTCACAGTACTGCGCATGATCGAGCGTGGCCTGGCATGGCCATGCCAGCTGCTGCACAACTGGTTCGCGCTGCTGCCCAAGGGAGACAAGCAGGTACGGGGCAACGAGAGGGACATCGGCCTCCCACCGATGCCATCAGGATTTGGGGAAGTTTGACGAAGACCCCGATGACGGAGTGGTGCGACGAGCGCGCAGCCCATTGAGACGCGGCGGTCAAGGGCAGCAGCGCCCTCCAGGCGGCCCTGCTCACCGTGGTCCTGGGCGGGGCGCGGGCGCGCGTCGGCCTCGACGAAAAGGGCAACTTCCTGGTCGACGTCTAAGTTCTACGATGTCATGGACCTGGCGCTGATGATCGACCAGGCCATCGACCTCGAGTTCCCGTCGGTGGAGCTGTGCTCCTGCTGCCTCACCTACCTGGCGCCCTGCGTGGTCACGGCGCAGGGTGCGTGCGCAGAGGCCATCGCCCCGAATTGCTCGATTGCCCCTGGCTGTGGCAGCGCCGACCATTGTGCGCGCGTCTTTCTTTACAGGCTGCTGGAGAGGGCCCGTGGGCGGGTTCCTTTCGGTGAGAATCATGCAGCATATTGACGACGTCCACTCTCAGGTGGAGGGTCCAGGAACGTTGGTGCTCGAGCAGACCAAAGAGGTCACGTGCGAGTTGGTGGAGGGTATGCCACGCATGGGTCTACGTTTTTTTCCGAAGTCGCTGCTTATGATGTCGAACCCTAAGGACGAGGAGCAGGTCCAGAGGCACGTCCTGCGGGTCACTGGCATCAAGATCAAGAGGTCCAGCTGGGCCAAGTACCTCGGGATTGAATGCTCCATGGGCCTCAAGTGGGCTAGCAAGACGACCGAGTGCAGGGTGACCCTGGCTCAGGCGCAGGCCGCCCGGGCGGCCCAGTTCAAGCGAGTGGGGCGAGGAGGCAAGAGGGCCGAGGGTATCATGCTGCGCAACGCCAACACCAAGGCCAAGTTTAAGTACGCGGATCCCGTGCTCGGCGCGCCGCCGTCCGAGGCGGCTCGCAGGCGGGGCCGGGCTGCGGGTCTGGCAGGGCGCGCAGTCGGCGGCAGGCGCACGGCTTCATTCATATTGCCGCAGTGCCAGGGACGACGATCCTAAGATGAGCGTGGCCACGGACTGGGTCAAGCAGTGGTTCCAGTTCTGGGAAGCGCATCCTGAGCTACGAGAACGTGTCCGTCGTGGGTGGAGAGCGGTGCTGAAGCGGCTCATCTGCCGGAGGTCGCGCTCAGATGGAGATGCGTGGCAGGCCCGATGGGCGCGCTCATCCTCATGTTGTGGGAGCTGGGCTGGACGCCTCGCGGCTCCGACGTCTGGATCGACGACCAGGGGGGCGAGTGGCGGCACATGGGCGACGTCGCGGACGGCTACGACGAGCTGTTCAAGGCCCGGCGCTCCTCAGTGCGACGCGAGTTTGGCGTCGAGCTGGACGGCACCCTGCAGGGCATTGTCTGGAGGATGGCGGCGTCTTGCATATGTTGAGAGTCAATGGTAGGAGGCTACGTCGACAGGAACGGCACCGTGCAGCTGGGGCGCTGGAGGCGAATGCCCTGGCATGTGCGGACGAAGGCCTGCGCCAACTCCACAGGATATGCACGTGACCACGCGTGCTCGAGATGTGAGCAGGGCACAGACACCATCGCTCACAGAACGTGCGGAAGTCGTCAGAACGCTGAATTGGACCGCGAGTGGGTGGCCAGGACTGAGTCATTTTGTGAGGCTGCGCGAACTGATCTGAGTGTGGGCAACGACGTCTGCTTGTGGACCAGAGGGATTGTTCCCCCTTCCTGGAACCCTGCGCCCTCCTCTCCCTGAGTGGAACTCTGGAGACGGCCCGGAGGTGTTGGCTGTAGAACTCCCTCCTCCTGTCCTCCGCCTCGCCCCCTGCGGGCCCAAGTGGATTTGCTCGACGGCTCCGCCGCGTCCAGCGATGCCCGAGTGCGCCGTGTTGGGTGGGGGGTGTACATATGGTTCGAAGGAGAGGCGGGGGTGGACGTGGAGCACAGGGCCATCAGAGGGCTCTGGTGCACCATCGATGGGGCCCAAACTGTGCCTGCTAGTGAGATCGCTGTTCTTGTCTTGGCTCTTAGGGTCACTAGAGGGCCCATTGAGCTCTGGACCGGCTGTCAGCCTGCTTTCCGGTTGGCCCCAAGGCTTCGCCTCGCAACCGCAGGGCCTACTCGTCAAATGGTGGTCTCGTGTCAAGGCGGCCCTGCCGAGCAGGGGCGAGGGCTCGGTTGCGCTTGAGGAATGCTATTGTCATCTGGATGCTGATGCCCACGTGCGAGCAGGTCAGGATTCAAGAGCCTCCAGGGGAAACGCGATGGCCGATCAGCTGGCCCAGCGAGGTGCTGAGGCTGCTGCGGCCCCAGTTCGTCGTGCCATTAAGTCCTTGAATACTGCTGATGCGCGTTCCACTCTCGTGCGTCAGAGGATTGGGGCGATTTTGGCCCATGTGTGCTCGGAGCTCGACCGTGGGGAGCGGGGTGAGTTTGCTGTGTAGTTCGGCTCGGACTCGGATCTTTCGAGGATAGAGGAGCTTGCTGCCCGCTCGGGCCACCAGGTGCATCGTCTGACGAATGGCCTGCGGTCCTGCAGGCCCCAGGCATACTTTCTGTGGAATAGTGGCTCCAGTCGGGTGAGTTCCCAGGTGATGTTGCGAAGCGGTCCCTGAGGGAGCAAGGCCACAACGTTCGAGCCCCCCCACCAGCGTGAGGTCACTTAGAGTGGGCGACACAGCTGTCCACGATTCCCATTCCATTGCCATGTTGAGTGGGCTGGTTTGGTGCTGGAAGTGTGCGCGTTTCGCTTCCGTGATCCACGGGAGCGGGCGCCCCGACCGCCGCAGCTCCTCGGGACAACACGAATATACATCGGCTCTCCAAGGGCCTCCTGCCCAGGGCGGGGCGTGGCTGGCCCATCCTTCAGGCTGGCGGCGGAGCGGCCCCGCTGCCCATCCAGGGGTCCGACATCAAGGACTTCCGTAGGAGGGGGGGGGGCTGCTGTGAGGGGGAAGGTGGGCCGCTCACGAGCGTGATCGTTCGGTTGTGTGTGTAATCGACTTTGTCGAGGGGGTGCGTCACGGACGGATCCCCCTCTTGACGAGTTACTCCAGTTACTCCTCCTCCTCCTCCTCCTGCTCCTCTCTCTTCTTCCTTTCTCACTCTCTCTCTCTCTTTCTAAAGTGTTCCTCCTCCCTCTATCTCGCACCTCTTTCCAGTTCCTTCTCGTCCTTCTCTGCCGCTTTCTCAAGGGCGCTTTCCGCCCCGGAGGTTGCCGGTTTTTGCTTGTCGGGGCTCCTAAAGATTTTCGCGCGGGGAGCTGCGGCCGAGAGCAATTGGGGATGACGTCGAGTTTCACATCTGTGTTTTTCGAGCTTCTCTTCTGCTCCTATCGCAATCACTCGGATCCCCTAGCCCACTCACCTGCTTGCCCACTCTCTCTTTCTTCCCCTCCCCGACGAAACGCTGCGAGGTGTTCGCAGTGTCCAGGCGCGTTTGCGCGCTCACAGGGTCGCCGGGCATGCCGCCGTCGCTGATGGACCTTCTTCCCAACCATCCTGTGGTGTTGGGTCCTCGTTTTGAAGAGACAGCGCCCCGCGTTCTCCTCCTCCTCCTCCTCTCCTATTCTCCTCCCCCTCCTCCTGCGATTCCTGCCTGTGCCCTCCAACCAGTCAACCATTTTGGCACACCCCTCACACGTTTCGTGGCTCTATAGGGAGCCCCACCGAAGGCCCAAATGCCAGCGTTCGCATGCGGCCACCGCACCCAGTTTGGCACACCCCTCACACGTTTCGTGGCTCCATAGGGAGCCCCACCGAAGGCCCAAATGCCAGCGTTCGTATGCGGCCACCGCACCCAGTTTGGCACACCCCTCTCACGTTTCGTGGCTCCATAGGGAGCCCCACCGGAGACCCAAATGCCAGCGTTCGCATGGAGCCACCGCACCCATTTTGGCACACCCCTCACATGTTTCGTGGCCTCACAGAGGGCCCCACCGAAGGCTCAAATGCCAGCGCGCGCATGCGCCCACCGCACCCATTTTGGCACACCCCTCACACGTTTCGTGGCTCTATAGGGAGCCCCACCGAAGGCCCAAATGCCAGCGTTCGCATGCGGCCACCGCACCCAGTTTGGCACACCCCTCACACGTTTCGTGGCTCCATAGGGAGCCCCACCGAAGGCCCAAATGCCAGCGTTCGTATGCGGCCACCGCACCCAGTTTGGCACACCCCTCTCACGTTTCGTGGCTCCATAGGGAGCCCCACCGGAGACCCAAATGCCAGCGTTCGCATGGAGCCACCGCACCCATTTTGGCACACCCCTCACATGTTTCGTGGCCTCACAGAGGGCCCCACCGAAGGCTCAAATGCCAGCGCGCGCATGCGCCCACCGCACCCATTTTGGCACACCCCTCACACGTTTGACAGTCCCAATGGGAGCTTCACCGAATGCGGTGCACACAACGAAGGTGTTTACAGCTGCATATGGTTGGGTCCTTCGTCAGGCTATTTTTTCAGCCTCCGGCGATACGGCCGTGACGGGGAGTGGGGGGTGAGGTGCAAATGAGTAGTGTGGTATACGCAGTACCGTGCGTTGGGTAGGAAGCACTAGTCTCAAAAAGCATGGATGCTGAATTTTACACGTTCGGGATCCCTGCGGTATTTTCTTTGCTTGCCGCATGGCCCGTCGGCACCTTGGAGGCTACACAGGCTGTTCGGTTCACACACGCGATGTGGTGCAAAGCCGCTGGAGTAACCACCACATTGTGCTGAAGCAGAAGCCGTCGTGCACACGGGCGACGTGGTGTGCGCAGGCACTTGTATAGACAGGCACTGTGGTGCACACGATTGCTGTGGTGTGCACAGGCAGTGTGGTGTATACAGGCGCTGTGGTGCACCCGCATGTTTCTCCTGTAGCAGCAGCTGTGCTGTGCAAAAGGGGTGTACGCAGTCATTACTGTGTATACCAGCTCTGCGGTGCACATAGATAGTGTGGTACACGCCATGTGGTGCGCGCAGGCATTGTTGTGCACACAGACGTTGTTGTGCACAGGCCCTGTGGTGCACACGCGCACCGTGGTGCACACATGCACTCTCGTGCACACAGGCCCTGTGGTGCACACAGGCATTGTGGTGTGTACGGGCATTGTGGTGCACACAGGTATTGGTATACAGAGGCATTGTGGTGTACGCAGGCATTGGAGTACAGGCATTGCTGTTGTTCACACTGGCCCATTGGTGCACACTAGCACCATGGTGTTCACAGGCGCTGTGGTGCACACAGCCATTGTGGCGTACATAGGCATTATGGCGTACCCTGGAGGTCCCTCCGCGGGCATAGTGTGGCGCGCGCACCCACCCTCAGCAATCCCCTACGCTGTGCCTTGCGATACATTAGTACTAGGCAGCCCCAGACGGCGCTGGCGCGAAACTTGACGTTACTGTACTGGGGGTGGGGTGGGTGGGCGGTAACCTGCCGTTGGCGCTTATCGTGAGAAACGCTTTCTTGCCGCACTACCATCACAGTCTTCGTCGTTGGCGCCATCGTCGTCGTCGTCGCCGTCGAGGGGTTCAAGATTTTCGGGGCGCCATCCGGCCGCGGTTTATGGGGGTGCACCCGGAGGCCCAAAACGACAGAACGACGCTCCCGAACCTCGCTCCCAACAAACCTCGATCGGCAGAGGACTTGTCGTCCTCGCCGTCCTCGCGGTCGTCGCCGTCTTCGCCGCGGCTCCGAAGTTTCCCGCCCTGTGAGGGCCGAGTGGGCCAGGGGCTTCCCCGCGCACGCGCGCGCGCTCGACGGGGCGGGCGGCGCGGCGAAGGCGCGGCCCACCGTCGCTCAACCGTGGGACGTCGGTCGTCGTCAGTCGTCGGTCGTTGGTCGTCGGTCGATCGTCCGCCGTCGTCGGTCGTCGCCGTCGTCTGTCGTCCGTCGTCCGTCGTCCGTCTTCGTCGGTCGTCCGTCGTCGTCGTCGTCGTGGTCGTCGTGGCTGTCGTTGTTGTCGTCGTCGGTTTAGTCGTCGTCGTCGTCGTCGTCGTCATCGCCGCCGCCGTCGTCGTCGTCGTCGTCGTCGTCGTTGTCGTCGTTGTCGTCGCCGTCCGCCGCCGGTTGTCGCTGGTCGTCACTGGTCGTCGTCAATTGTTGTCGGTCGTCGTTGGTCGTCGTCAGTCGTCGGTCGTTCTCTGGGCGTGCTCTCGTCACCACGGCTGGATCCGCCCCGAGCTGTTGTTCGCAGTGCTCCCCAGGACAGGACTGGGGGCAGAGCTGGAGGCCTCGGGCTTCTGGAGGGCTGGTCTCTGGATGCACGGGAGGGCCTCCGAGGGCATTCTCCCCCTGTTTATCTTTGCTACGCGTACACGCCGGTCGTTGAAAGCAGGTACTTTTTGCAGTCTCAGATCCCAATCTACTTCAAGCGCCTTCCTATTTCAAGACTCGATATGCTTTTGCTATGTTTCGGTACTCTCTGGGAGGGCCTGAACCCAATCTGCTTTATCCGCTTTCCTACTTCATGTTTATACCTACGTCTTCTGGCCGATGTGTAAGAGTGACCCTTCGCTGGAATGACCCTTGATGCGGACCCACAGGGATCCCCGCAACACTTGCCTGTGCGCTTGGATTTGGCCTCCCCGCTGCCTCCTGATGCCGCGCACCGAAGGCCACCCTTGCCTGTGGTCACTCCTGCGTGCAGCCGCTTGGCGTGGGCGGGCAGCATCTCCTGTGTTCACCGGCGTGGGCGGGCAGCATCTCCTGTGTTCACCGGCCTCGCGGTCCTGGAACCCCTTGGCCGCAACCCCTCTGGCTGCAGGGCGGCCCTGCGCGGATGCCCCGAGCGGAGCGCTCCCACTGGGACGGCGTGGCGCCTACAACTGGGAAAGCGCAGCCAGCGCGACCGTGCCTCGGCGCCCAGACCGCGAGGGCACGGCTGTGGACATGCTCGCCGCCCGTGGTCCTGGGGCCCACAGCCGGGGCCGCCCACGACCCCTGGCGATGGGATTCGATCCGCCCGCTGGGGCCGCGATCCCGATTCGATTGGAGGCACGGGCATCGGGCCGGGCCAGCCGGAGCTGGGCGCAGCGATCCGAGCTCGACTCGATGCGGCCCGATCCGATTTCGCAATTGTCGCGGTTCGGTCCGGCTCAGGCCCGACCCCTCCCACCCCTCCCCGAGAGGCCGCCCTCGGAGCGGCGGCCGCATGCAAATGGCGCCCCGCGGCGGCCGCGGCGGGGAGCCACTCCTGGGCGCCGCCGGCTTGGCTGCGGCGGACCCGCGCGCCGCCCGCCGCCGCCGCCGCGCCTCCAGAGGGCTCCCGGAGGGCCTCTGGACGGCCTCCAGAGGCGCCTCCGGAAGGGCCTCCGCGGAGGCCGTTTGAGGGCCCGTCTCGGAGGGGCTTCGCGGGGCCTTCGGGGAGCCTCCGCGGAGGCCGTCGGAGGGCCTCTCTCCTCTCGGAGGGGCTCCGTCAGGGTCTTCGTTCGCACGTCGCGTGAGTGCCGTGCGAGGTGCTCGTGTGTATCGTCAGCGGCGTCGATGCCGCCGCCGTCCGATCCGAGGCCTTGGGGGCCGAGGGTGCAGGGCGGCCGCCCAGCCCGCCAGGTGAGGGCCCGGCCCGGCCGTCAGAGCCCGCCTGCCAAAGTCATAGCTCCTCTCTCTTCCCCCCCTCCTGCTAGAAGGTCTTCTTCGCCGTCAGCCCCCCCTCGCTCCTTCGTTTCCTCCTTGCCTCGCTCTCTACCTCTCTCTCTGCCCTCATCCTATGTCAGAGGCCGCGCCAACTCTAGAGGTCTGTAGGCTTTCGAGCGTTCGTCGGCGCCTTTTCTGGGCCTCGGGGGGGGGGCGCCCCTCGCGGCCACGTGCGCACGGCTGCGTGCACATCGGAACTCTGGCCAGCGCGCACTTCAGGACCTCAGTGTCATCCACGAGCTGCCGTCTCTGCGCCCTGCCGAGCGGCATCCAGTGGGCGACCTTCTGATCCCACTGCTGGATGTCCGCGCCTTTCGGCAAGGACACCCTGGCTCTCCATGTCGGTCAGGATCTGTCCTATCTGCTGCGCCAGTCTGCCACGCTGGTAGTACTCGTCCCTCTTGCCCTTCGCCAGGGTGCGGTGTGGCCTCCGCTGCGCCCTCGATGGCCTGCGCGACCTTCCTCCAGAACCTCGCGGGTGTCCAGGATCGCCTCCTCCACCGGGGTGGCCCAGCGGCCGTATCTGATCGAAATCACCTGCTCCTTCTGCTCCTCCCCCCAGTAGGCCACATGGCCATCGGGGGGGACGCCGAGGCGGGGAAATGGATAGTCCGAGTGCTCGAGTGACGGTGGGGGCCCACTGTCAAGTTGGCACTCGGGGGGGCCGAGTCGGGGGAATACAGCTTCGATTGCCCATGCGGCAGTGTGGCCCACTGTGCTCCTGCACATCCACTTCGGCACCGCCTGCACCCCTGGGCTTCGCCCACTCCGGCCGCCTGAGGCCCCGCCTTCCTGTGCCCTGTCTCCCTAGTTAAAGCTGTGCGTAGCCCGCCTAGCTTTTAGCGGAAGAGATTCGCTCTCGCCCCGCAGATCAAAAAACAGTGTGGCCCACTGTAAAATGGGCAGTCGGGGGTCCAGGCCGAGTCGGTGGAATTTCTCTCCGATCGCCAAGTCGACAGTGGGAATCCCGTTGTCAAATGGGTCATCGGGGTACCCGTCTGCCGATTTGGCAGTCGGATCCCACCTGTCAAGCGGGGAGCCAACCGGAAGAGCAGTCTCGCAGATTGCGCGTTTGACAGTGGGGATCCCATTGTCAAACAGCACAGTTCGCTCAGTACTTTTCGCGGCAATTTTGACCCCCCTGCCTGGATGATTACGGTGGGAATCTCACACGCCTTGAGCACTTTTTTGGGGGTCTTCTTGGAGAGGAGGGTACTAACTACTCTCCTCTCCTCCCGGGAGATGGCCGGGGCGTGGCCCTCACTCCCTTCTGCATTCTTCGGTACTTGAGGATTTTGACCTGTGCTTTTTTTGTCTGGTCGCTTCCGGTCCTTCAAACGGTGCTGCCGCAACGTGGGCCTCATTTTAGGATCGGCGCTGTGCGCCCGTCGTTCAGAATGGCACTCGCCCCAGCGCAGGCCCCTTTCCTGTGACCGAATCTTTCCTCATCGTTGTCCCTCCCTCCTCCTCCCCCTCTCCTCCCCCCCTCTTCCTCTCCTCCTCTCCTCCTTTTCCTTCCCCCTCCTTTCTCCTCTCCCTCTTCCTCCTCTTCCCCTCCTCTCTCCTCTCTCCTCTTCCCCTCCTCTCTCCTCTCTTTCTTCCTTCCCCCCCTCTTCCCCTCCTCTCCCCTCCTCTCCCCTCATCTCCCCTCCTCTCTGGCGACGAGGGTGGACGACGGACGACAGACGGCAGACGACGGACTAAATGAGGACGACGAATGTCAGGCGGTGGCCGCGGTGTGGCTCGCGGACGTGCCCTCCTTCGCCTGCCCCACCAGCGTGTCGATCGTGCCGCTTGCGGGCAGGCGACGGCCACTCGGGCGGGAAGGAGGGGGGGCGGATGATGATGATGAGGAGGTGGATGAGGAGTGCGAGGAGGAGATGGAAGGCAGGACGTTGGGGGGCGAGGGAGGAGGGATGAGGGAAGGGGGACCGCGGAATAACATCAATAATCATGTCAGCCAGCGTGGACCCCACACGGTGTGCTTCTTGCAATCTTTGTTGTGCAACCTGTGTGGAGCAACATGTAGGGTGCAATGCGTGTCGTGCAGCATATGCGGTGCAAACTGAGTGGTGCAACCTATGTGGTGCGATCTATGCTGTGCTGTAGTGTATGTTTTGCAGTCTGTGCTGTGCGATCTAGGTCGTGCAATACATGCGGTGCAGTCCATGTCGTGTATTTTACGCTGCGCGATCCATGCTATACTGTTATACACTTTATGTGTTGCAATGGTTCAATATATGCGGTGCAATCTGTGTAGTGCAATCAATGTGTTGCGATCTGTGTTGTGTAGCCTCTGTGGTCAATATATGCTGTGCGATCTCTGTCGTGCAATATATGCGGGGCGATCTATGTTGTGCAATACGTGCGGTGCAATGTATGTGGTGCAATGTATGTGGTGAAGTCTAAGTGGTGCACGCCATATGATGCAATCTATGTGGTGCAATGGTGCGAGGCCGCGACGAGGCGGGGATGGGGCGGCGACGGCGACAACATAGCCGCCAGACCGACAGGCAGACGACGGGCGGCGACGATGCGGCGACGGGGCGGCGACGGCGACACCAGAGCCGCCAGACCGACGGACACGCCCAGGCGACGGGCGGCGCGGCGTCGACGGGGCGGCGACAACATAGCCGCCAGACCGATGGACATGCCCAGGCGACTGGCGGCGACGAGGCGGCGACGGGGCGGCGTCGGCGACAACATAGGTCCCAAACCGACAGACAGGCCCAGTTCCGTAGAGGAGAAGTATGGACCCCTAAGTGCAACCACTGTTTGGAGAAATTTGAAGAGTACTACTACTATTCAGGATACTGATACTCGGACGGCGAATACCATTAAGACTTTCACTTCCAAGACTACCCAGACGAATACCATGACACTTGGGACACTGCTAATGGCGACCATGAGGATGATGCTGAGCGGCGATGATGATGGTGGGCATGGTGATGGTGATGATTCTGATGATGATGCTATCGATGATGCTGTCTGTGAGTATGACGATGATGAGGATGAAGATGCTGATGATGATGATGATGATGATGATGATGATGATGATGATGATGATGATGATGATCAACTGATGCTATGGTGGGATGCTGATGCTGCTGCTGCTGT